GTTCGTAGTTTCCTCGGCCTGCAGGTTATTATCGTCGATTTATTGAGGGGTTCTCGAAGATTGCACTCCCTTTGTCTCAGCTGGCGAGGAAGTCTATAAAGTTCGAGTGGATAGACCGTTGTGAGTCGAGTTTTCAGGAGCTGAAAAGGAGGCTTACGACGGCACCGGTGTTGACTATACCCGATCCTTCTCGGAGCTTCACCATCTATAGTGATGCTTCGAGGCAGGGTTTGGGATGTGTACTTATGCAAGATGGCCAGGTCGTTGCTTACGCGTCACGCCAGCTCAAAACACATGAACAGAACTATCCAACGCACGACTTGGAATTAGCTGCAGTTGTTCATGCCCTCAAGATTTGGCGACACTATCTATACGGCGGTCAATGCGAAATATTTACTAATCATAAGAGCTTGCAGTATATCTTTACCCAGAAGGAGCTCAACATGAGGCAGCGCCGTTGGTTAGAACTCGTCAAGGATTACGAGTGTACGATCCAGTACCATCCGGGAAAGGCGAATGTTGTTGCTAATGCCCTAAGCCGCAATGTGAAGGGTGACTTGACGTACGTTGTTACTCAGCAGAGTCAGTTGATTCATGAGTTCGCCCGGATGCAGATCCAGCTAGTCGATGCACTTCCTACAGCCAGTTTGGGGAGTGTGAATTCTATGCAGGTTCAGTCGACGCTGAGGGAGAGAATCCGGCAAGAGCAGGCTTCAGATGAGTTCATTCGTACGATTGATGCCAAGGTTCGTGCCGGAGGCGTCGAAGGTTTTCACTGAGGCACTGATGGGGCCTTGGAGTTTCGTGGCAGGATTGTGGTGCCTAAAGTCGAAGCATTGAGAAAGGAGATTTTATCTGAGGCTCATACTGCACCCTATCTAGTCCATCCAGGAAGTACAAAGATGTACCATGACCTGAAAGGGTCGTTTTGGTGGAGAGGATTGAAGAAAGATGTTGCCGACTTTGTAAGAAGATGTTTGACCTGTCAGAAAGTCAAAGCCGAGCATAAGAGTCCGATAGGCCTTCTACGACCACTGCCGATTCCGAGGTGGAAGTGGGAGGAGGTTGCGATGGATTTTGTCACGGGGTTACCGAGGTCGTCTGAACATCACGACGCTATCTGGGTCGTGGTCGACAGATTGACTAAGGTTGCACACTTCTTGCCAGTATCGATGAGTATGTCTTTGGATCGGTTGGCTGAGATTTATGTCCGTGGGATCATTCGACTCCATGGAGTACCTGTTACTGTCGTGTCAGATAGAGACCCCAGATTTACTAGCAGATTCTGGAAGAGTTTACACGAGGCAATGGGTACGAAGCTAGATTTCAGTTCAGCCTACCATCCCGAGACTGACGGATAGACGGAGCGGACTATACAGACGTTGGAAGATATGTTACGTGCTTTGACTGTCGACAAGGGTGCTAAATAGGAGTCTTTGTTGCCGTATATCGAGTTTGCGTACAACAACAGCTATCACTCTTCTATTCAGATGGCTTCTTATGAGGCACTATACGGTCGTAAATGTCGTTCCCCTCTTTATTGGGACAACGTCGGAGAACGTCGAGCACT